GAAATATTTTTTGGCAAGAATCATGCTATATCTAGCGCAAGAATTGCATAAAATAAAAATTAAATGCAAAACCTATTTGTATATCTTCTATATGCAAAAAAAGGAGGAGAAATTTTTAAAGAATTAGACTTCTTTGCACTTTAAGGATAAATACATCATGTGGGCAAAATGCCACATGGTCCAGGAGGCAAGATTATCAGTTCAATTAAGACCTCCAAATTAATACAAATACCTCTATTCTCTAAAACTGTCTAATGGAAAATTAACTGGAGACATCGAACGTTTATTTACAATAGTTATTACCTCTGAAATAAATGGAATAGAAAAAAGTGTGTGTATGAGAGATATTATAAAAAAATATGGTCAATGTCTAAATTCCAAAGATTTCTTACAGCCAAAGACACATTGCCATTAATCCCCTACAAAATACTTCCCTCACTTTGAGCAATCTTCTCCCGTCATTCTTCTTGCTTTCTGAAGCAGTTCTGGAAATGCTCCTTCCTGAGCGTCTTTTGTTGTGCGATTGTGGCTGCCTAGATGTCCTAAATCAGTATGAAAGCTTTACCTTTCAAGGTCATTTTCACTTTGGAGAAAAGCAAAAGTCACATGGGGCAGTTCTGGTGAATAGGTGGGTGGGGACACACTGGAATGTTTCTACTTTGACAGAAGTTTTGTAACCGGAGGTGATGTGTGACGTGGATCATTGTCACGATGTAGTATAAAACCAAACGCCCATTTCAAGGGCTGTTTTCTATGCACATCATTTCTACAAAGTAAAAACAGTACAGTGTGTGCTCATCCACCTTACTTATAGTACCTGGCATTGTGAAACTTCTGGATCTTCCCCAAAGTCAAAATGATCATTAAAGGGAAATGTTCTGAATCAATTCAGAACATCAAGGCAGCAGTGACAACACCACTAAAGACATTCTGGAAAGAGGGTTCCTATGCTGCTTCAGAGAGTGACAAGGACAATGAGCTAAATGTGTTGGAAGAGAGAGGGAGTATTTCGGAGGTAACTGAGGGCAGCATGTCTTTTACTGTCACAAGTTATTTTTTAAAAATTTAAACATCACTATGCTATTTGACCACACCATGTATATTAAATGGAATTTCCTGTCAAATCCACATAACACGAGAGAAAGAACATGAATTTGAAGACCAAGTGTCCTGGCTTCTATCCTACCTGAAAGACCCAGGAAATTTGCAGTGCTGGTGTATATACCTGCATTTTTCTAACCCTCAAAAACAACATTAGTTTGTTTTATGAAAGGGAAACTGAAAGGAGGTTATTCATTTCTAAGATCTCCAGGCATGTAAGTGACTGTGTTGGAACTCTGGAACAGGATATTTCTAGAGCCTGCCTTCCCACTTCCAAAACTGGTGGCTAGTAGCAAGGATTCCCCTGGCCCTGACATTTTAACCTGCCACAGTTTCACGCATGCTAGCTAAAGACATACATTTCCTAAGTCAGGGACAAAGGGCTGTGTTATCCATAGACCAGACAGCCCAGATTTGCATCAATCCCTCTTTGTCCCTCAGTCCCGTGGATACAGTGCAAAGGGCCACGGTAGACGTTTGTGTTATAGCTTATGAACCTGCAGTGAAAGGGACGCCCAGTTTTATCAAGTGTGATGCTAACCAGCACGGTCATCCTTTGTCCCAGGTGGGGATACAGTGTTTATCATCCTGGTGAGGGAACAAATCTGGCGTCTGCCCAAGGATATCCCATCAACTATTAAGACTGACAGGCAAATAACCTTTCAGAGGTAGCCTGAAATAAAACCTGTCATGTTCACATAGAAATGTCTTGAAGAATTTCCCTCACAATGAGCAGTGTCTGAGGAAAAGCCGATTTCTGTGGTATCTACAGCCCAGAAAGCCCCGACTGGTAATGCTGAGATGTTCTTGGTTCATGTTTGCATATGTTAATATCTCAGTCTCGTCAAAACTTGGATCCCTGGGATCATGGGTCTATTAATCAGTCAGTCCCCAAAGGGACACAAAACAGAGGTGAGAACAGCCCCTAGGTGTAGAAGTCTGGCAAAATTAGGTAGGAAGCAAGTGCTCTGAGCAAGTACACAATGTTAGGGCAGAAAGTCTCCCCAGCCAGGAAAATCCCAGCAAAAGCCCTTTGTACGGATTAAGCCAATCTGTCAGAACCAAGTGTACTTCATTTCCTAGTACTCAGGAAGTTAGGTTCTAACTCCTGGGCAGGGGCTGATTGGTTTCCTGGCCAGGGTAATAAAGATATGCTTCTCTCTCTGGCAGAAGTCGTGTCGCTTAGCTTCAGGCACCAAATACTCAGATTATCTGAGCAAGAATAACTCCAGACATTTTGGATTTAGAGCTGTTCATGCACTTCTTGTACAGATTAGAATTAGCTTGCAGGGTCAGCAGTGCTGAGCTTCTTGATGAAAGACATAGTGAGTCCAGGGAATGGAGACCAGCGGAGGGTGGAATTGGCAGGGAAAAGACATAAAGAGCAAAATGAGGAAATCATTGTTTCACGGAGATAGGAAATAACCAAGTGAAAGGTCAACAGGAGAAAAAAAGAGAACAAACTTGTGCCTTTCTACGCAAGATAAACTACCCAAAAATTAGAAGTGAAATGCCACACAATGTCCACACCAAAATTTACTTGATAGCAGAGAAACAGGCAAATGCTTAGAATTTGCAGAGAAAATGTTCCCTTCTGGTTATTTAAAATAAAACAATATTCAACAGCTCAATTAAATATTATCTAAACCAGTTAGCTCTAAGATAATACGATTTTCTTGCTAAACCCTAGGGATTGGATAGCCAAGCCATCGTGAGTTTTAGGTCTACTGTCTAACACATTGTATCACCGGGGAGAATATCATCTTTTTTGTGTCATTTTCACTGTGATGAGACTATTATATGCAAGTCCTGTGCTTGTTTCTTGCACAAAGTCAGTATCACTTGCTATATTCTATTGCAGTCATTTCCATAATGAGAGTAATACTTGCTGCTAATATCAGTAATTACAAAGAAAGCACGGGCATGCAGGTCTCCGATATATTCTAGGATGAAATCTGAAGAGAACCTAAAGGACACTATTTTTTGTCTACTTGTAAGTCATGGTATTCTCTTGTTTTAATTCAAAGTTTTGCCAAGGATGAGGCAGAGAAACTGGTGGTGGCTTTTCTTCAAACTTTGTATGGATAAGAGACTTTTCCCTATAACTTTGTTGAATAACAGGAATGAGGAGAAATAATTCTTCATTCAAAAAACTTTAACTTCCTGTTTAAATACTATTCATGTAGAAAATACCTAAAAAAGAATGTAAAACTGATGAAGACCTGGTTTGTTTTCTGAGCTATGATGGGTTTTACTTTTGCCTGAAAAATATCCTGAAAGTATTTCAATTAAATGCACTAATATAAAACTAAAACTAATTTTTAAATTATTCATAGTTTCCAAACTTTTCATGTAATGAAAAGATTTCCTATACTAACCTCTTTCAGATCTGAAATGTAAAAATTTCATTTTAAAACTTGTCAGTTATGGAAATTTTTTGTGTAAGATATTTCCAGATTTATTGTCAATTTCCTCAGTAGCTCATAAAACTACAAATTTACAAAAAAAGACAGGTTTTAATTACTTATTTGGGTTCTCTTCAATGAGTATATATTCAGTGAGAATGTACTAATAAGACTTCTATAATTCATATAAGAAAGGTGATCACCACTATTGGCTATTTCTAGAAACTCTTGATAAGTTAAAAATAAAGTTTTTAGTATTACACGTATCATTTATTCATAACATATTTGCAGTTTAAAAATATTAACTGAATTGATACAGAAGAGAAAAGCTGATTTAAAAATGTTAACAATCACAGCCTTTAGGCTAAGTTTCAAGTTTAATGCTGCCAACAGCAGAATGACGTTATCTGGGAAATTCAGTTCAAGTCAAATAAAAATATTTTTAATGATCTCTATAAGAGAAAGAATTTCTCCGCAAGTGTGGAAAAATCTTTAAGTCTAAACCAAATGTTCTGTACCCTCCAATCTCAGATTAGTCCTGGACCTACAAGTCATTACTGATCTTCCCAGTGTGAGAAGATAAACAGGTCCAGTGGAGGTACCGATCTGGGAGTTTCCAAATGAAAACATTAAAACAGAGCAGCCAGAATCACAGATTTATCATTTGAAACCTTGGCTTTTCCTAGCTGAGGAGATTAGAAAAGTGCCAAATAAAAAGCAAAACCTCAAATTCTAGGTTATTTTGTTCAGAAAACATGGATAAATAGTAGAGGTTAGCTGTGAAACTAATGAATATTTGACTCACAAACTAGAGCTCTCCCTTGAGCAGGTAATCCCTAGTGAATAACATTTTTAAAAATTATTAAACAGTTTCATCTATCAATTTAATAAAGAAGCTCTCCAACATAAAAGAGGGAAATTACACAGCATGCTACAGACTTTCACTCTTTTAAAATTTTGCTTTGAAAACAGACCAGCTCCTCAGTACTCTAAAATCCTAAGTAGGAAAGCAGAACCAGGAGGAAGGATTATTTTTAAAGGATTTTATTTAACAGAAGTTCTAAACAGCCTAACAGCTGCAGGTTTTCAGCGGACGTCTTTTTACAACAGAGAAGAGCCCGTTTGCGCCTGACCGCGGTAAGGGAGCTGCTCCAGTCCAGAGAGGCTGCTCCTCAGCAGGCCCTCCCAGGACCCTTGTGGCACTGGGAGCTGCTCCATGCTCGGCTTTTCCCTTTCAAACAACCTCTCTTCGGCCCCTATCCTATCCCCCGCCAACAGCCACCCGTTCAGTTTCCCCATCCTCGCTGACAACACCATTTCTTCTAACAGAGAAACCCAAGTGTCCTGGGGCCTCCACACCCACCCGGTCCCCAGGCCCTCTCCATCCTATCCTAATTCCCACAGCCCATGGCGATTACCAAAGCACTCTCCTCCGCACCCCCAAGTCTGGGACGCCCTGGTTACCCCACTGAAGTAACCCACATGAATTCTGACCTTGAAAGACGCTCAAGTCCACCGTCTCTGTTTCTGCTCCTGAGAGACCACACACTCTAGGACGGGGCGGCTTGGATTCGCCGCGAATCCTCCTCACCAGCTCCGTGAGGCCTTCGGAACCGCGGGCAGTGAGAGGCAGCGTTACATTTGTGACCACATGGAACCGTGTCTGTGAGTCAAAGAATGAAAGAAGAAGGAAGGTAAGCCCGGGGCGTGGTGAGTTTAAGTGGATCACGTGCTAGGGGAACTGAAAGGAGATGCAAGTAAAATGGCAGATTATAAAACCATGCTCTGTTCTTCAGACAATGGGAAATCCCCAAGATTGTTTAGCAAAAAACCCTTATGCCTTGATTTCTGTTCTAGATCACTCTGAAGCATTAGGTGAAAAATTAATTTAAGTGGAATAAATTACTCCCCTGAACATGGCTGAAAAATGAACTGCTATCTAGTTTCACTTGGTTCCACTAGCAGACAATGAATTTTCATCTGTTTTGGCAATATCATCACAAACTAGTACACTTAAATTCAAGTACTAGGCAGGTCATTAAGGTTTCTTTACTTAAGCAAATAAAATTTTCAGTATTTTTCATTCCTAATAGAGTAGGTAAATCCAAATAGCCTCAATTCATTACACTAAAGTTTTCTTTTAAGCATTCAAATGGGTTTCCAAGCAATAAGAATCTGAGAAATTAAGCTCCCAGGAAGATTTTGTCTGCCCTACTTTTACTCTCTGTAAACAGAGTAATAGTATCCAAGGATGATAGAATGGATCCATTACAGCCTCACAGGTGAAAAATTAACCTGATTCCATAGCTTATTTTTTCCAGAGGAGAAAAAAAAGAAAACCATTAAGGACTTGTGCACGGCTAATAAATGTTGGTCCTAAAATACACAGAAAGTAATATAAACAAGCTGCTTCTGTTAAGTAGTGGCTATGCTGTTGCAGTTCTCACTGTGGAAGAAGAAAAAATAGAACTACTTCCTAAATTCACCACAAGTGAGTGAACAGAAGTTAGAGATAAAAATCTACATATTGTGGTTTTGCCACATAATGCAGAAATGCCAGGCCACATTCAGTTTTTGAAAACATTCTGTTCCTCCAACTTGGAGGTATTTGTTACTAAATTAGCCCATTTTTTAAGGACATTGGTGGGCAAGCCAAGCATTGATCAAGCAAGAATTACAAAGCTAAAAAAAGCATCTTGAATTTTCACAATTAGCATCATAGTCTCCAAAACCATGAGACCATGATCCAAGTCATATTTCAAAGAGAAACACTTTTACTTTCGATAACTAAACCAAATTCTAGATCTCCGCTTCACTTTTATCCTTGGTCAACATAGCCCAAAGTAAAGTAAGGGCCAGAAATTATCTGGACGTGATGAACACTAAACAGCCAACAACCTTTCATTTTTACCTGAATATTCTAGATTTATGGTTCATAGCTAACTGAATGTCATGTTTTGCTTTGGTGACCCTAATAAGTCCTCTTCTTTCCTTTTATTTAATGACCTTCAATGTTCATACAGGAAATTCTATGAATGGACAAGCAGATAAAGCAATTGTTAATGAATTTATCACTACATTTTGTACTGGTGATAAATCTCCTCATGAAAGTCATGACTCCCAGTGGATCTGTGAATGGAAAAAATAATGATGTTTGGAAAGCAGTAAATATCTACTACCCACACCATAGACTTGGCAGAGAAAAAAGTAAACAATTCTTGGTCTCCCTGTCAATAAATCTAACTTTACTGCTGAATCAAAATTTTATAGCCAAAGGGAAACATTTGTGACACAAAGTGATTCTTGAATAAAAGAACATGGCGGAGGTGTTGATAGAAATGCATCAGAACAGGATGCTGGCCCTAAAGCCAATGGGACAGAACCACTGTTTCCTGCAAAGGCCCCACACAAAGGGCTGGTTAGTTCAATTCTGGATCACACCTCTCCTTAGTTCCGATAATTGTGCTAATAATTCCTGTGAGTTTCACTGGTATTTTATAATGCTTATTATGCACAAAGGATGGTAAGAGCTCAGAGCAGCCCCTGCAGTGTGGGTTCAAGAACTCTGTGCAAGCTCATGGGTCAGTAATGACTCCTGGGGGTAGAGGAGGTCAAGGAAGAGGCAGGGGACAGAGTGGAAGGAATGCAGAAGGTTTGAATGATTTTCTCATGTATTTAAAACAGTGTTAAGCTAACAAGGGTTTGTGTATGAAATTTTTAATTCTCTCTCTTCCTGAGGCCTAAAGAGTTTGTATGTTCAGAATCACCTTGCAAAGTTGTCAATCCACACTTAGATACAGGCCTAGGAGATCCTCAGGACCATCAGCTCTCAGGAGCTCTGGCTCATCCCTCCAGAGTCACAGAAATAAATGATCCCTCCTGGGTACGCATCTGAGGTAAGATGGTATTAAGGGATCTCAGAAGAAGAGCACCCAGCCCAACACTGGTTCCATCAGGAGACGATTAACAAAAGAAGCCAACTTTAAAATGTATTCTCAAGGTTTAACAGGATATTTTCCCAAAAAAGAAGAGTGAATGAATATTCTAGACAGAAGAAAACATGCTCTGAAGCTCAGAAGTTTGGAATCGCATGGAAAGTTTGTAGAATAAAAACTCTACACTGCAGAAGCACCCAGAGGAGTGGAGAGTCGAGGTATAAGCCGAACACCCTGTTCCTACATGGAGAAAGCTCAATTCTCTATTCTCACCTTTGCTTCTATGGTTCCTTCCTCCAAACAAATTCTCCAAATCATTTTTTCCATTGTAATCACTTTCCTAAGTTTACATTTTTCCACATGAATGGGCGAAACTCTCCAGCTGACAGAAATGTAGACTGGATGCAAAAGTCTCCAATGAGAAGCTGACAACAGAGACCTTCCTACAGACAACAGTAACATATGTTCACGTCTAGTGATAACTAAAGGCATATCAGGAAAGTGCAAGGATAAAGAAAATAATGGGAATCGCAGTACCGACCTCATGGAAAATGTCCTAAGTTGAGGCATAATGCCAAACTCATCACCGTGGGCACAGCGACTAGAGATCTCCCAGAGAGGACACTGTGGCAGTTTCTCAGCTGTGGCACCAGCTTTCTCCCACTGTCTCTCCCTCCCCTGTGAGCATACAGAGATGGCACACCAAATCCAGGAGCTGTTCAGCAAGGCTGCTCAGCAAGGCTGCTCTGTCCTTCAGGATGATGATGCTACCTCACAAGTGTGGTCTTCCTCCCATTCTGAAGGCTGCTGCATTCCTTCCTCCTGTTGGTGCACAGTCATCCTTGCCATCTCTCTGCCCTCCCCTTGCCTTCTGTGAGGTGCCATCTCTACCAGCTGCTTTTGTGCCCTGGCCCATGCCAGCCCCTCCCAAAATCTTTACCCAGAAACATTTGCCTCTCCCTCTTGCTGGCTTTATCTCCATGAGTCTGAAACTCTACCAAGTTGAGTTTGAACTGATGCTTGCTAAATTAGTAGCTTGTGGCTTTAAGAAAACTACTTAATTTTGAAGTCTGTGCTTCTTCCCATACAATGGAAAAGATCATGCCTTTCTACTTGTGTTGTTCTGAATATTAAATGAGAAAATGCCTTGAGAATAGGTGCATGCATTTAATGCTAAGAAGAGAAAAGTAGTTCTCACCCTCCAATATAATCAGAAAGCTCTAGAAAAAGGCATGCTTTTGAAGGCAGCTCCCATAGTGTGAATTTCAGCTTCTACGCATTCTAGCTGTAGGATCTTGGACTTAACTCTCTGATCCTCTCTTTTCTACTTATGAAATAGAGATAACAGAGCCAATCTCAGAGAATGTATGGATTAGATAAAAGCACAGGTTGCCCTGTCTGGAACTTCTGTTTCTCCTCCCCAGAATCCTCTCTGAACACCTCTGAGAAGATGCTGATGTCATGCTCTTTCCACCCAACCCCGGCCACCTCATCACCAGAGTAAAAGCCTCACCATCAGCAACTCGTGCTCCATCTGCTTCATGCCTGTGCAGACACTAACTAGCTCATTCTTCCTCCCTCTAGCTCAAGGATTTTCAATACTTGACAATATTCTGAAAGTCAAAAATAAATAAACTGATTAATTTTGCACTGTAGCTCTTCCTGGCACTCACTAGATGATAAAACTAATAAATAGAACATTGATAACAAGTAGGGTGAAGAGTTCTATTCATTAAGCACATTACTGGGAAGATGATATGAACCAAAATGTTGAAATCCTTCTAGCAAGAGTTCAACTGAGTGCAAAGGAAGGAAGGACCGTATCAAGCACAGGATGTAGGACATGTTTATCTTTATGACAACCATGGACATTAAATAGGTAACAGTTTCCCTATTTTTACACAAATGTGACTGAGTCTCACAGTGGTTAAAGTGTCTAACATCATTAAAAAATAAAGATGAATTTATATTCAAGTAATTTTTGTGCCTATTTTAGAACCCACTAGCTGCTTTCTTCGTATGTAGCTGTTTCTTGTGTAATAGCAGCACCTCTACACACATTGTGCTGAACAGCCTCCAGCTTTCAGAATTATTCATACATCAGTGAGGAGAATAACCCATTATCTCCTAGATTTTATGGCTTAGCAACATGACACAAGAGAGTTAGGCTAGAAAACAGTGTGCCAGGCTCCTGAAGTCAGTTTAGGACACAGTCAACCTCTCTACCTTGGAGTGGTCAGAAAAGACCGAAACAATTTTCAGCCCCATAAAATGGTACCAGAGCTCTTCCAAGCCTTGGAATCATCATGCCATTAATGTGTCTGAATCTTAGTAAACAGTTATAATAATTCCAAGACTTTAATAGGCCAAGAAATGCTTTTGAAACTTTATAACATTGTTTACATAATCTATCTACTTCTACACGAGAAACAAGCTTTCATTTTATATCTGAACAAAAAAGTCAAATTGACGAATTGCCGTATAAACAATGAAGCCTTAAGGAAGCATATTTAGTCACTGCTGCATCTGGAAGTACAGTTTTTGGCCATAAAAGTTGAACTAAAAGTTTCTATAGGCTGTGATTATAATAGAGATGTTGATGAGGAGCACTTTTAATGCCTTCTTTAGACAGTAAATTCATAAACATGGCATTGACTGAGAAATGACTAGTCACAAATATGTTTCTGAGAGGTGAGTCCTTAAGAGAAACATATGATACAAGTAAAATTATCCCTTTCCATCTTTCTTTG